GCTGTGGACTTATTAATGAGGGACTAGGTTTAGTATGGATAGTTATGGGAGGTGGAGTTTTGGGTACTGGCTCTGGCTGTGTTGGAGTTAGCGATGATAGTGGTGATAGTGGTGATGAATTATTATCTAAATCATCTCCCCATCCAGTGGCTATTATAGGCTCATGATATATTTTAGGTACTGAATATTCCACCAAGTAATCATACTTGCCGCTTGGTTCTCCTAGTGGCCCGACTGTTGGGTCACCATTCTGATATCGCTCCCATAGACTTTGTTGATGACTTTTCTGTCGAACACTTGTGGTTTCAGGTTTAGGGTATTCACGTTCATTCGTTCGTTCCTTCGTTCGTTCCTTCGTTCGTTCTTCATCTTTCTCCTTTTTATCTTCATCCTCCTCATCTTCCTTCCCACCACCTTCCGTATAATGATGAAAATCATTATTTAGTCGATTGAAATAAAGAAACAAGAAGAATGGATCAACATCTTCAGTTTCATTAGTAACTTCTTCAGCGGAGGTATCAAAGACAGGTGTAATGTACACTAGTTGTTGCCTTTTATAAGGCAATAGTCTCCTCATGCACATTACACCTTTTAGACAACTTCGGATAACACGCAATGTACACTAGTTGTTGAGGCGTCACATGTTATTGCCTTTTAGACACTAGTAATTCTTTATTTCAATCGGCTAAATAATGATTTTCATCATTATACGGAAGGTGGTGGGAAGGAAGATGAGGAGGATGAAGATAAAAAGGAGAAAGATGAAGTGCAACACTAGTTGTCTTATAAAAGGTGTAATGTACACTAGTTGTTACCTTTATTTCCGCAAACCCCAATTAGACACCTTCGAATAACACGCAAGTTAATTTGCCTTTTATAAGGCAACAGTCTTATCAAAAGTTGCTCCAAGAAGGAATTCAACATATCCATCTGGGATTAATTATGATACGACTTCATACTTTGCATCGACGGGATGCCAGGACAAATGCTTTGTTAGTCTTACGAGACACCAGATGGCGTTCTGATGTTTCAATCATTGGAACGATGGAAGTGGATCTAACGCATGACACACAACTAGTGTACATTACACCAGACATAATGATGTCTATTCATGAATTTCTTAATCACATGGAGCTCGTAGTACTTACTCATGGTTATGAACGCTGGCAAGCCGGTGAATCTAATCTCTTAATTACCAGAGCGTTGGTAGCAAGGCTCACCAACACCAGTCATGCTAGATTTCGATATCATGTAGATGACATAGCTGATTACCTAGCATCTAATGATATCATGGCATTACCAGGCGCTAAGCAAACTATTGATGACCTTCACGGTCTTGATTGGAATTTAAAGACATCTGATAATGTGGGATTACAAGTCCCCCGATCGTTGTCAACACGTCAACGTATTGATGGATCAATACGTCTATCTTTTTCAGGATATTCATATGTGGCACCACCAGCACTGCCCAACGTTACTTCTGATGATGTAAAAGACCATACCAATGTAAAAGGCCATCCCACCATGGAAACGGCTTTGATGGTTTATTTGGATGAACCTGTCATTGATGAACCTGACTTTGATACCTCCGCTGAAGAAGTTACTAATGAAACTGAAGATGCTGATCCAGAAGATGCTGATCCATTCTCCTTGTTTCTTTATTTCAATCGGCTAAATAATGATTTTCATCATTATACGGAAGGTGGTGGGAAGGAAGATGAGGAGGATGAAGATAAAAAGGAGAAAGATGAAGAACGAACGAAGGAACGAACGAAGGCTAAACCTGAAACCACAAGTGTTCGACAGAAAAGCCATCAACAAAGTCTATGGGAGCGATATCAGAATGGTGACCCAACAGTCGGGCCACTAGGAGAACCAAACGGCAAGTATGATTACTTGGTGGAATATTCAGTACCTAAAATATATCATGAGCCTATAATAGCCACTGGATGGGGAGATGATTTAGATAATAATTCATCACCACTATCACCACTATCATCGCTAACTCCAACACAGCCAGAGCCAGTACCCAAAACTCCACCTCCCATAACTATCCATACTAAACCTAGTCCCTCATTAATAAGTCCACAGCTTGAAATAACCTATCCAAGCATTGAAAGCCAACTTGCTGACCTTGATTACCCAAGGTTAAGAAAGATGGCTAAGAAAGCAGATAAGACATATGCTTCTGTCTCTTCAAGCTTCACACCTAATCCACCAAGAGAGGCTATGATGGGGCCTCCGATGTATACCCCTGCTGATAATCTTAAATTTGATCCCATAGCATCAACTGATGAGTATCGCACGAGGGGCTCTGATTTTAAAAAGTCCTACAGACAGAATATGTGGAATTTGCCATCAGCAAGTACCACGAAGGGAGTTATCCTGGTATTACCAGATGATTTCTCCCTATATGATGATGTAATTTCTCGATGGGAGTCAATCACACTGAACCTGGTAAATGAAAAGCAATTCGCAGATAACAAGTCTAAAGTCATGTTTATTGAGAATCTTCTTGGAGAAACTGAGAAGAAAATCTGGATCCAATGGAGAATGACTTATGAGCAGGAGTATGAAGCGCTTATCCAGCTTGCTGATGATCCTCAGAACGTCATTTCACAAATCCGAAAAATTATCTTGTTAGAGGATCCATATCAAGGTACTAGTGATGAACAAAATCGAGCATACCTAGATCTTGAGAGATTGGCATGCAGAGAGATCAAAGATTTGTTTGAATATATGAATGATTACAAAGTTCTTGCTGCCAAGTCTGGGCGAATGTATATTGACAACGAACTATCCCAAAAATTCTTTAAAAAGCTGCCTCCTGTTATTGAGGAAGAGATTGAGAAGACATTTCAAAAGAAACATCCAGG